AGGGATCATCCACAAAAGTAAAGAAATAGAACTTGCTATTATCTGAGTTCTGAAAGGGAATTGTGTGAGCCAAGTATGTAAAACACACAGTATTTCAGTTACAGAAATACACCAAAGGAAATGGTGAACAAGATTGTCGGGCTTACTGACGCTGCTTCAGTTAACGATAAGGGGACTGAATGCCTATTGCTTTCTTTTGATAGGAGAACAGTGACTCTCAGACACAATGCAAGGATTTCTATCCTGCGAAGCAACTGAAAATTAAGTAGTGACTGTAACACCCAGATGTAACATCCAAAATGCAGAGAAATGCATAGCAGCTACTTGACTGTGTGGTTATGGGTCACTAAGTCTACAACATCCTCTTGTTCCAGATGGGTGAAACAATCCCATTTCAGTATAATCCTGATGTAATGATATTTGTTTAGAGTGCTGAAATGCGTTGAGGGGGAACAGCTGGCAGACACAGAACATGAGATAGAACTAAGCATCACTTCATGAAAGGATGACCCCTAAGAAAGGGGTCAGAAGCCTTCTGAATGCATGGAATTGAAGCTGTAAGTGGCCTCAGATCCTTTTCCTCACAAACTGAACTTAAAAACCAGCTTCGATTTACAAGCAATTAATCAACAACTTGGACAAGTGTCGTTACGTTCTTTGGATACTAACAATGTTGTAATTTATTTTAACATCCACCCCAACCCCCTTCCTTCCCAGTTTCTATTAACTCTTTAAAATTCTCTTGCTAAGTCAGACTAACAATTCACTGTGTGAAAAGAAGAGGTGCTCCCCATGCTGCCTCTTCTCAGGTAATATCTGTAAAAGGCCAGGCTTTGCACCATGTGTAATGACCAACCTTCATCACAACAGGCTGGATGATGCCTCTTAAAGATAATGCCTGCAGAACTAAAGACAAAGTAACCCATGCAGAATAGCAGCAGCCTGCCTTCTTTGGATTGTATAGTGCAGTGTGTGGGAATTATCATTTCTAGTTAAGTTCCCACTTTCCCCTACAATGCATTAATTAGCAGTGCATTTTTATGCATGTAATCTCTCAAGCAAATGGACAGGATTTGATCTCAGTGGCCCAGTATGCTACAACAGCCTGTATGATCCCTTCCTGGCTAACAAAGGCTAACAACTCACTGACAGTCTTATCCTATGAGCCTCAGTGACATGAAGCTGTTGTTTCAGAGGTGAAATTGTCTACAGACTATAAACTAGCAACAGTACTTATTATTTAGGAATTCAATGGCAATACATAAAAGTATTCTGCAAGTAACTTACCTGTTATAGTATCTCTATATAGAGGTGACAAGATAAAATTTTCAAGACAATGAATTAAGTCATAGATATTACTGAGTCTGAAGGAACATTTAAAAATGTTCATCCAGAACAGATATTGACTTAAAAAAAAAAAAATCTTTGCTTTTTAAACACAGGACGTGGATCTGCAATTGCAACAGAAGTCCAGGATGGCACCAGAACACATGCAGTTCAGCTCCTCTAAGAGCCTGATGTCTTTCAATTTGTGCCAATGACAGATTTGACTGCATTGGCCATGGAATTCAGTATTTTTTCACTTCAGTGCTTCAACTGAGGATCCCATACTCAATAAACATATACTTTGAAGGAGAATGGGAATTTCATATGTGACTAGATAGCAAATATTAAAACATATTTAAAGAATTTCAGTGTTCATGGTATCTTATTTTAATTTTTAGAGATCTTGCTTAAATATCAGTATTAACAAACAACTACACTTTAAAGTATTATTGAATTATCAAAATCATAAGAAAAAAATAAAAAACACAGTCTTAAAAAAAAAACAAACTACAACAAAAAAAAACATGGCATGGATTTCATGTTTTCTGTTGCACGTAAAAACTCTAGACCAGCTTTTAGGTCTGGTTTAGAGAGCCCTTGTCCCCTTGTCTGCATTGGCTTCATCCAAAGGTAGATGTCATTGATGCCATAAAGAAAGGGGCTGGGGAATGCATCATGACATATACTGTTGGCTGTAGGGTTAATGGCATCCCCACATCATCTGCTATCAACATTTCTGATCCTAATTCTTGGGAGAGGACAGTCACCTAGATGATACAACTGCTGTTACAGCCCTGAGGAGTTGTAAGCCATCTCTGAAAACAAACTGAGACTTCATCTAAATATACTTCTTCAAACCCAAACATCAATACACATAAGAAAATGAAGAATGGGTATATGTCAAACATTGTGAAGACAACTTACTCTTCAAAGGCACGGAAATGTGCTTAGTTATTGAGATACAATGGGAATATGTGCCAAAACCTGAAGATTTGACAGTGTCAAATATGGAATTGTTCTGCTCCCAGGTTATACAATAGATGTCGCCTTCCACCCTTCAAGAGGAAACAAACATATTTTCCTATCTTTTTCTTACTCTATACAGTCTCAAAGCTTTAACTTTGCATTTTTCACACCTTTACACACTTGTGAATTTATGTGTTCAAATACAAACTCTTACCTAGAATTTTCTTTATAAAAATATTTACAATTCTTTGTGTAAATGCTAACCACAAATGCAATAAAAATATTCTATGAGATAGCAATTGTTATTATTATATATTATGTACTATACTTTATAGTTTTAATTAAAAAATAATAATGCAAAACAGCCAGAGTTCTCTAATTACTTAAACAGGGTTAATTGGCTTTTTGTATCAGCAAAGCAGCATAACACAGCTGTGGGTTGCATATGAGCCTGCTCCATCATTCCTCATCACCGTGTTGTTTAAAAGGTGGTCACACCACAACTGGGAGCTGTGGAATTGAGGTGTCACAGTGTCCTGTTGGTCAATCCTTTATGCTTGTCTCCTGGCATATGGCCAAAATGAGGCATCAGCGTAAGATGCCTTCATGCAGTGATGCCCCATAACACCCTTAACTAATATTGACCTATAATCAGACATTGACATGTCTCAGCTACTTGAATTGCACCTCCCCATTATCATCAGCTGATCTGCATACAGAACAGCTGCAAGAGGAAGGCAGCAAGATTTACTCCATTTTGTTAAATTCAGAACAGACACTTTCACTATAAGTCCTGGAATTGACCTTCCTGTCCCACAGCCTACCTTAGCCAAACATCCTTAGCAAAAGCCAGAAACCAAACTCCCTTTGAAAAACTCAGCCGTCAGTCTGTACACCTAGACATCTGTATATCTACCTTCAATTAAAATGTGTGCACTTCCACAACTACCACATATGCTACCTAGTGCAAAATAATTCTGTCCTTAACACTTAAATTCCCCAGTTTCTGTCATCTAGAGAGCACATATGGAGTTGAAGCTGATCACTGTGAAGCTTGCTGCTATGGGATTTGTTATACGCTAGGGAGCATCTGTTGAGTCAAATCCTTGCACTTTACCAGACCCTTGGGAAGAGCATTGTCTGCTGGGGCCAATGACTTGTGGACTGGTTGGTGTGAACATCCAGAGGAAGAAGCAGCAGCGGTTCAGAGGCACAGAACTGCCTGTGTGTAGGAACACATTGCAGACCTTACAGCAGATAATTTTAAACTGAGATGGGTGGAGAATACTCTTCCTCCTATTAACTACACTGATTTCATGATTGGCGCATCTCCATAAAATAGGAGGAAAAAAACCCAAACACAACCACATTTATGATCCTATGCAAAAGTCATGTACTCAAGTACCATTTCTTAAATTGAACTCTTTCCCATGAAAGACACCCCTGTCTTTTTCAAATGCTTGTGTTTATTTGGTTGGCAAGGTGCCCATCACTGTTACTGCTACAATGAATGCTATTTACATCCACTGCTTCAATACACGTAAAGAAACATACCCTTCACCTGATATATGCCCTCTAAGGGAACTGACCAAATTTCAGCTCATCAATTTAATATGAAGTCAATTTAATTCTGCTTGACCAAAAATCAGTGCCTATTGTTCCAAAACATGCAATCATCTCACAGTGTATTGCAATCGCTGGTTAAGTGGCTTAGTGTTATCAATAAGAGCCCACTCTGATGAGGACAAGAGGACTGCCAGAATCCTTTATGAAAAATAAAAAAAGCTATTTTGCACACAACCTTCAGAAATGGTTTCCAACAGAAGAGAGCAGGGGCTGCTGTGTGGATGGGCTGTCACAATCAAATCCTTAGAAACAGATGAGAAATAAGCATATTATTCTTGATTTACTATCACTTCATTTACGATTTCCAATTAATACAGTTCCACACAGACATGCCAAAGAGATACTAAAGGCCTGATTGTGATATCCTAATTCAAGGAAAACACATACTCAAAGTCCTTTTGAAGCCTTTTCACTTCTGCCAACTCTTGCAATTTTTATTGCAAGCCTTGCAGTACTTGATGTTTTGCATTTTGTCTCCTGGAGTTATGGAACATACGAATCTCCTTTATTTTCAGTTTTTAAAAGAAGTTTATCACCTTCATGACTGAATAGAAAAGCTTGTAAATGAGCTTTTTAAAAAAGCATCAAAAATAAAAGTGAAAAAGAATAAAGAACTGCATTACTTAGTTGAATAACTTCATAAAGGGAATGATGTTCTTAGAACAAATTCATGATTCCTAAGACCCTGCATATACTTGCAACTCAACAAAAGTTAGCAATACAGTCTAGATCTTCACAGGAATCCTACTGGTGCAACACTTAAGGTTGGGGATTTCTTTTCTTGCACTTAAAGGAATGCCAAATTTCAGGAACATCTTCTAAAAAAATAAATTATGTATCTAACTACACTTTTAAAGAGGTCAAAGAAGATAAATATTAGGAATTTACAGGCTACCTTGCTGCAGGAAGGAGGTGAGCAATCTTCTCTTCTCCAGCATAAGTGGAGTGAAGAAGTTCTCTTGCAATTCTCAGCTCATGCTCCAATCACCATGGGTTCCCCCAAGCGTCAATGGCAAAGTGAGGAGCAAAGTAAAGAAAACCTCTTGTCAACCACCCACCAGATACTGGCTGTGCAGCGATTACTCAACAGAGGCAAACTGAGCAGCCCAATCTTTAAAATGCCTGCTCCAAAGAGTCTACTGTAAGCTACATGATGGTCATAGAGGAGAGCTGGAGTTCAGGGTCTGCCATCTGAAGATCCTAGATAAAAAAACATGTAGTAAACTACCCCTCCCTCATGATGGCTGCAAATCTGCATGCAGCCCATTAACACTGAAAACACTGCACTAACTTCCTTGTTCCTCCCACCTACTAATTCCACCACCACCTTTTTTTTTTGTCTTCCTCCTTACCTGATAACTTTTGTTTATTCTGTAAGCTATTTGAGTCAGGGGCTGTCACTTCCTATGTGTTTATGCAGTGCCTTGCAGAAAGGCTGACAGCTGTAGTTGCCGTTATAATCAAGGAGAAAGGAGGGTGGGATTTTCAAGGCACTAAGGAAAATGAGTCATTCACCTACCATTGACATTCAATAGGCTTTGAGTACCTTTCTCCACTTTGAAAATCTACAGTTACAAGTATAATAATTAAGATGTCCGTCATCACCAAAACATCCATTGTTAAAATATGACACAGCCTCCAATAGGGAAAACCTTCGTTTAGGGCATAGTCAGTAACAAAAAGAAATTTGTTTCAGAAGCGCTAAGAACTCATTTGTTGAAAATCATGCACAACGGTGTTCAACATACATTCTGGTAAGTATCATGTCTATCTTGTATCATATGTTGCATTAGTTAGATATCTGCTGAGAAGAACACACTTCATCAATTTAAGCGCTAATACTGTAGGTTCTTTAAAATAACATTTCCTATAAATAGAGATTTAAATGTTCTTCTTTAAGTATTATAATCTTTAATTGAATTCAATACCTCTGCAAATGGAGCAAACAATTTCTGACTGATTAGATCATTTGCTTCTATTCTATTTCAGACATGCACTGGTTTGCAATAATGTAAGGTTTTTTTTTTTTTTCATTAGCAATTGCTTTTCAGCTGTGTATTTTCTTCAGTAACCTAATTAATGCAAGAAAGGTACCTTTCCTTCTTGTGACTACATTATGTCAATGTAGTTGACACTCTTGCAGAGGTTATGTGTAAATAAAGTCAGAAAAAAATGTAAAGGACAAAAATGAAAGGGATGCAGAAAGTAAAAGTAGATTTTCCTTGAGAGAATGAGTGCCCTCATCTCCAAGCAAAATAAAGATATAAATTGACTACTCAGTACGCTGCAGGACAAACCCGTGGGAGGTCCTATAAATCACTAGCACAAAAATTATTACACTCAAGTAGAACCAGAAAACATGTATTAATGAATAGAAGAAATCTCATCTGTAATTTGATTTAGTAGCTTTCTAGGTCTGAGATTGTTGCACAAGTAACATAGCAAACTTTGCAAGACTAATTTTAGCTTTGATTTTGGGATATTATCTCTCTCTTAAAAACAAATCACAGGCCTGATTGCAAACTATGTTTCAGAGCAGTGCCTGGCTAATTAACTATTATAATTGTAATGACAACACAGATCCTACCAGGCAGGATGTTTAGACATAACTGAAGTAAACCACTGTGGATTATTGCCATGTGTTTTGACAGCATTAACACCGAACACTTTCCTTTGAAAGGCTGATTTCAGGTTCTTAAATACAGAAATATTCCTACCTAGAAGCTATAAATGGACAGAGCAAGAACTTATACCAGCAAGTAGGTTGGTCTACCAACCTAAACCTTCACCCTCAGGATGTGCTTTGGCGAGATGCTATGGATATCCAGATGCTCCTGGAGCCTGCCTGAGCCTTATGATGCGGCATTAATAAGCAGGTGCTCACAGCATTGTGCTGTAACCTGTTCAGCCGGAAGGGGTTGAAGGAATGGCACAGTAGCACTAAGGTTGCTGCTCCAGAGGCAGCGAGTAAAAAAATGGCATGGATGTTCTGATAAAGTTGGTAAGGGCCACAACTTATTTCAGGCATCTGGAAACAAATCTTTGGAAGATATTTTTGCCTAGTCATCTATTTCAGTTCTTCACAAAAAAAAAAAAAAAAAAAAAAAAAAGAGAGAAAAAAAATATGGCTTGCTGGAGTTGCTCATTTAGGACATTTTTTCCCACAAAATATGCAATTGGAATACCTCAAAAAGAAAAATCTCCATGGTGAGATTCTGTGGGTGAACCTCCATGGTGAGATACTTCTGGCAATTGACACCAACCGACACAGCAACTATACCAGTAAACTCCTATCACCCACTGATTATGCAAGGTCCAAACTGAGAATGGTCCCTGTGACACTCTTACTCCCAAATAGGGCCTCAGAGTTACCTGAGAGAGTTGCAGAGGCCAAAAGCATGCTGAGAGTTGATAGAACAGTTTAATTTTATAAAAATAAAATTAGCTTAATTGTCTTTTATTAACATTAATTTAGCTCAAATTGTTCCACTCTGTCAGGATGTACTGCTCATTTAGATACTTGATCTCCCCCTCTGAAATTTGGTGGTCTTGCATCTCATTGAGATCAGACTATATGGATAATGAAATAGGAGATGCTGTTTAAAACACAATTAATGGTGAAGAAAATTTATTGCTTATTTAATAAAACATTGCAGCTTACTGCAATAGCCATTAAAAAAACTACAGTCTACTGAACAGCTTTACAATGAATGGCGTTTTCTAGAGGCAGCTGGTTCCTTCTATCTCTGGTTTTAGTTGTGTCCCATCCTTCCTCCTCTTTTTTTTTTTTTTTTTTTTTAGATTCTCGTACAAAAAGAGAGAATCATAAAAAAGGAAAATGCATAAAACTGTGTTTACTTGAAAATACAGATCAATAAGATTTTTAAATGCTCACTTTTAACTTAAATGTTTTGCCTCATTTTACAAAATATTTATTTTTTTTTTTTACTTTTACATCACTGTAGTCAATCCATAGCATAAAGTGTACAGAAATACTACAGACAAAAAAAGCTGATGTGTCAAAGTTTGATATCCTGATCAAACTCAAACAGTGTGCTGAGGTTTTACACAGAAAACAGGCAACTTGACCTCAAACTCCCAGACTAACTGGCATATTCTCCTCCATTTTTGAGAAAATTAACTTAATTCATCACATCATGATTCTATTCCTCCCTACAGCTTGTGTCACTTTCTTTGCTCTTTGTTCTGCTTCTGAATCTTGGAGTGGAGCTGTCAAGGTTTAATGGCACAGTGGGTGCACAAACAAGCATGGGAACCAAGTAAACATATGAAAAGCTTTTCAGTATACTTTTTTGTTTTTTTAATAAATTTTAAGCACACATCAGAATAAATATAAAAAAAAAATCTAAGAATCTTCTCTACTAGAGAAATGTCTTGGTAAGTTTTAGTTTTTTAAAGTACAAAATCTGAATGCTATTATTCAGGGTAGCCACCAGATGAAGGTACTTAATTCAACTCACCTGCTTCCCCCTAATTTTTTTAAAAAAAAAAAAAAGAAAAAAAAAAGAGAAAATTAAATTTCCCCACATACAGAGATGCTGACAAAACCTGAAAGCTACTAAATATATCACTACATTCATGAGATGTAAATAACCTCAATAAACAGTAAACAACAGTCTCTGACTTGGAGCCTGAATCTCCCAGGGTGCAGGGTGCTCTTAATTCCCTTTGCAGCCACTGTCTCTTCTGAGGAATTCTGCCTGAGAAGATTCTAAAACTTTTAATTTTCTGGAAAGTGCTAATTCTCCCTTTCCAGCCTCCATCATTTTTTTTGCCTTCTCACCATCTTCCTGTTCTCATTTCTCCATCTCATGGATAAACATACCACTTCATTTCATTATGTCTTAATTCCAGAAATCCTGCACTTCCACACTGAAAATAATCAATGTTAGCTATCACAGGAAGAAATAGAATTAAAAAAAATGCACCGTTCTGAAGATGCATGGCATGGCAAGGCAATAAAAGTCATCACAAGAAAAATCTGAACTGGTAAGTCTGCCTAATTTAAACAAAGAGCAATAGCTTATAAATGCTGACCAACATCATATCTGTGAGCCATATACGTTACTGAACTTTTATCTTTAACTCATACATTTCTTCAACAGGAATAATTTCATCCATAGTGTGAATGCAATATCGAAAACCACACTCAAAGATGAGAAAACTTTTGGAAAAGGCAAGGAAGCTGACTAACCTGACCAATAGGCTCTTTTGTCGGGGCCTTTCCTCTTCTCGCAGTGCTTGTGGCCAAAGTGGTGGTTGTTTCCATGACTGATGTTGACATCTCAGATTGCATTGCTGTGGCTGTAGACTCAGTTGTCATAGAGGAAGGCACTTCACCAACAAGTCTCACATTTCCTTCTATAACGATGTTGGCATCATTTTCTGCTGCCATATTCAGAACTTTCAAGCCATTGTAGTAAAGACCAGAGAGCTGGCCTTGGAAAGGATGGCCACGTTCCTTGCCTCCAATTTTTATAGTTGCTTGGCTATTGAAGATTGTAAGCTGACGCCCTGTAAAGATAATATTATATACATGCAAAAATGTTGACTGTGAACACCGTACTCTACAAGAATGATAACAGATTTTCATGGAGTGAATAATGACAGCAATAAACTATAAGAAAAGACTTGACTCATAATTCATTGCTTTTTAATGAGGTGTCCATGAAATGCATAAATTTTGAGAGCATTTGCAATTTCTAAATTTGCCACATTTTTAGTGTGTGGTTGCTTTTTTTTTTTTTTTTTTTTTTTTTTTTTTGTGTGTGTGTGTGTGTGTTTTGTTTGTTTTTGCTAAAAGGCCAATCAAATATATTTGTAAATGCTTCCAGTACTATAATACCCCTCTTCCTTTTACCTGAACACAGTGTTAAGCTTTTTGGTGTGTGTCAAGAATGCCAGGTTTCTATTTCCTTATTTTTTCTTCAAAGACTGCAAACATTTCAAAGATTTTTCCATGTAATACACTGTTGGGCCTATAGCTTTAAGTATGTACATGTGAGTTTATGTATGTATAGACATATACAAATATGTATATACACACAGAGTTTATATATATGCAAACATAACACTAGGTTAAGAGAATTTTAAAGAACGTTATGCAGTAATCTGTCATATCTATGTATCAGTGAGTAAAATATTTACTTTTTTAATTAAATGTTTCCTTTTTGTATTTAAATGTTTATTTTCCTTCAACATACACACTGAAAAGAAACACATGGTTCACACTGAGTATCTCAGAGGCAGATTCAAAAATAGATGTCTGATTGGCTTTCAGCAAGGCTATCAATTAAAATAAAAGATTTTAGATGTAAAAGCGGCTTCAGAAATGATACACATACCGATGGAGAAATCATGGCACATTTCCATTCAACAGAGAAATCCTCAGCAACAGTACCACTCTTAGTAAATAGAAGTCACTTTAGCAGATTGGTTTCTGCTCACAAAAAGCATGCACACAACTTTAAGTTCTGTTTTAATTAGTGTTTGTTCCAAAATCCCCTTAGAAGGTTGCAAACGTTAAAGGGACTTCATTTTGATTGGCAATTCATCTTGCCCACTATTTAAGACTCCTACACTTTAAACAAAATTTTTTTTTTTCAGGACCATAATGAAGATATCATAACTACATATATTTTTAGTTAATAATTTAGATGCTGGAGCATGTAATATAATCTATGAATGATTTATAATTTTTTGTTAAAGTTTTCTGTGAGTACCTTCATAGATTGAGTTAGTGGATTATATTTAACAGTCCCTTTAACCTTAAGTTATCAGGGTAAGATTATTAAACAGCTGGTACTTCTAGAAATGTAGAGAAATTATTATACAAGGTATGCAAATATTACTCTATATTTTACTATTTTAAATTTGTTTTTAATTTAGTTTTACTGAAATTTATTTTTTATGTTTATTAGTGTTACAATGAAGTACTACTTGGTTATGTTCAAATTATTTTTTTATTTGAAGTTTTAATCAATGTTTTTTACCTTTGTCGAGTAGCCATTCATCAACTACTCGACCAAGTCGATATGGAATTCGCTGTCTAGCAATCGCCAGGCGCTCGTTATCATTGTTTCCTTTAAAGTTTAAAGAGACATTTCATTGGTTAAAATCTGTAAGGTCAAAGGTTAAAAGTTAATACTTAAAGCTTGAGCTATACAGTTGCCACATGATTTTTTGAAATTTGGAATTTTAAAAAGTGCTACCTGGAACATTTCATGGTTCAGACTTTTCATTCATTCATTTATTTTATTTTAGCAAACAAAATTATTCCTATGTTAATTGAAAATTAGAAATCTGCATTTGAGCTAGGTTATTAAACTTATGTTATAGACAGACCCAAAAAACAAATTTAAACATCATAGAATGGCTTTACAAAAAAATGATCATTGCCCTCAGGGTTTTGTCTTTTTTGATGTTTCTTATTAACTAGTTAAACATGTTCAGGTGAAACAGGTTTAAGTTTTCCAAAGACATCCAACCTCTCACTCCAGGTTAGTCATTTAAAGAAGAACACAAGTCTTAATCACCATTTAAGGCACACTTCTGCTGTCTAGAAATAGACCTGCCATAAAATATGTCCTAGTCAGAAAAAAATGCATTCTTATTTGCTTCACTTAAACAAATTCCAGAGATCCAAATATACAGTACAGAACAGACTAGGGTATTCACCATTTGTACATTCTCATAGGACATGTTGATCATATCTTGAAGGAACACCAAGGCTTTGACAAAAGTGACTTGCTGAAAGGTAACCTTGTTCTGAAATGTAGAAACACTTAACAATTTAGCAAGAGGCCATCTTTAGTGGGGTTTCGTAAATTAAGAACTATTCAGAACTCTGCAATGCAAAACAGAAACTTGTCATATTTGCAAACTCCATCTATTCTCAGTCTGTTCAGAGGTCCTTGATTGCTTAAAATAAAACATTGACATAAAATAAGGTTGATACAGTCATGAATATATCAGACAGTGAGGAATAATTAGCAAATCACTTTAAATGTTTATTTTTAATTATATGTATTGTGTGTGATTTAATGACATAGCTATTATTCCTCAGAAAACCATCCACTACTGTCTTTTATTTGAAATGTCTTTCAGGAGATGGTAAACCTCAATGTTTCCTCCATTGTACAGGTTTTTGGTGGTGGTAGTATTTTAGACCAACAGTATCTTTTGCTTCCATTATATTGGTTCATATTAGTTTTTTGTTTGTTTGTTTGTTTGTTTTTTAATAAATAAAAAGCACTCGAGAGATACAAGAAAAGCAGTCAAAAGCAGTTATTTCTAATTCAGGCCTTAACCCAAACTTAATCTTGCTTCAATGTGCAAACTACCTTTAAACTCTCTTTGACTTTCACCAGCAACGAACCGAGTCTTGTATGTGCAGTGGAAATAGTAAGTACAGGGTGCAGTAGCCCACTGTAGTGCAGAAATACATTTACTTAAGCTAGCATGATCTTACTGCTAGTTATCAAAACAAATTATTATCCAAATTCAGGAAATCAATTGTCTAGTTTGTCAGACAATTATCCCCTCTACCAGCAACACAGGGTTGCAGTGACGAATCAATTCTGTAGCCCACAGAAACTGCAAAAACAACAGCTTCTGTACCAAAAACCATCATGGTTTTGTGCAGATACTTATTTTGCAATCCCATGAGCTGCAATTTACCATGTTTCCCACATTTGGTTTAGCATGTATGTAGTTCACTATGGCAGAAGCTGATCTTTGGAGAGGATGTCCTTCTCCTATCCACCTTCCAATGTACTATATGAACTATATGCATGTCAATATTAAATAGTGCATAGGTGTATATATTGAAGTATATACATACATATATTTCCATATGCACATTTTGTTCTGTTCTCAACTCTCAAAAACATTCTCTGCAAAACAATATTTTACTGAAAATTTCCATTTTCTACTATTTCAGGAAAATGAAAATTTAAAATACAAGGTTTAGAAAAAGACTCATGGTATAAGAATACAGAACGTCTTATGATTTTTTATTTTTTCCTGTTATGATCTTTGAAATTGCTGTTCATCTTGGGCCTGAAACTAGCTCCTTCAGTTGTGACAAACCTTCTGTTACTGAATGCAAATTTTAGAAAAACGTGAGAAATGTCATGTAATCAACATGGGACCAAAGATAAGTAGATGCAATCCTCCATGTTTTTTTTTTTTTTATCAGTGAGTTAACAATTGATATCTCCTGACAGACAGTTATTTTTAAGACTTAAATTTAGCTTTTTTATTAAAGTATTTATGCAGTTTTTATTGAGGTATTATCAGTTAATTCAAAGAATAAGTGAGAATGTCCTATTTCCAAAAGGCTTCCTTACCTTAAAACAAATGAATCATGAACTTTTGTTGCTGTTGGGTATCCTTGTTTTGTTATCCATGTTTAAACAAAAGGAGAAGAAATAATCCTATGCTATTTATAAGAAAAGGCTAAACTGTTCAGAAGAAGTTTTTGTGCATGAATCTATTATATCAATGGAAAGAATTCTCACGGATGTTGATAATCACTAACTCGAGATTCACAGATCACTCAGTGTCATTTACTGGGTGCCATTCATGAGGTGCCTTCTGCTCCCTAGACTGCAGAAGCCCCATACAGTCATGTCAAACTGAAGAAGTGCTCGCAACTGCATACACCAGGAAGGCATTAAATGCTATGCTGTTACAAGCAGTCAGTGTACATTAGTTGCACCTCATAGAAGGACAGTCTGTAGTCACCACTCTAGATCTCTACCACTATGGCATCTCTCTATTGTAATTTCATTACTAACACTGGATTTATCCTAGACAAAGTTTATTGCCTCTTTCACTTTTAGTACTTGGTTGCTGCTCCAGGACATCTCTATGGTGATCATGGAAACTCCTCTGTAAATTAGCAATATAAATTTAGTCCTGGCCAGCTTATACATTTCTCTGAATTATTTCATTAAAAACTCCATATGGTACATACGTTTTTGAGAATATTGAACCCTGATGTGATTCTATCTATAAATTATGCTTTATACTAACTGCAGCAGTCTTGTACCACTGGGAGCAAAATAAAAATGAAAAGTAAGGAAATAACCATTTGATTTGTAAAGGTCACACAAAAAAATAATTGCTGATTACATTAGCCTATCTCTCATCAGAGAGAAAAGTGCATAGTCAAATGCATCTCAATTTGACACTATTACATTAGCTTAAATTCTTCTAGTAGATAATATAAATGGAAA